GCCTTCCTTGCGCGCCGCTCATAACGCGCGTGACGCGACGCACAACCCCTTGAGGCGCGTTCGCCATAGACTTTGCATGTAAACTGGCAGCTCCTGCCGCTCAAAACGCTCTCGGTGTGAACGAGCCATAAGGCAAAAATGTAATTAATTTAGAAAATCTTTTCAGGACCCCACCTTGATGTTTCAGGACCCCACTTTGGGTCCCAACCCCAACATTGGGAAACACTGTGCTATAGAACCCTATGGCACAGCCTAAGCGTTTATCTTTAATGACTTTTTTAAAGTGTTTTATTACTTTTACTTTTATACTTTAAGTAGTTATAAACCCAGTACTTTTATACTTTTACTTGAGTAAAAATCTTGAGTTGATACATCTACTTCCAAAAGAGTATTTTCAAACCCTAGTATCTATACTTCTACTTTAATGAATGTGAATACTTTTGGCAGCTCTGGGTAAAAGCATTAGAAACAATTGTTTTCTCAAGACCTTTAYAGCCTATAATTAATCACAGAAGTCCTTTTTCCTTTCCACAGTCTGCTCCGGCTCCTGTGCAGTAGATGGCAGTAGATGTGTCTGTGAAGCTGTCTGCTTCCCTCCAAACCCACGACATGAGTTTTGTGGGCGTGACCCAGTTTACTGCTTTGCTTTCGTCTCCTCTGTGCTGACCAATCAGAAGCCGCCGAAGTGAGACACCGCCAAGATCAGATTGTGAGAGGCACTGCTGTGAGCAGAAGGCTAGCAGAGAGTAAACTGAGGAGGCTAGCGCACGGGTTGCTAACTTGGAAGTGCGCTGGTAAGGGGCTTTCGCTGACTTGTTGGAGATGATAATATCGCTGATGATAGGTCTTGTAAATATCGTTGAACATTTTTGACGCTTCAAATATATGATGGAAACACGTTGCAGTCGGACGCAAAACTAATAATAACTTTCTCGATGACAGCTGGAGGTTAGCTTGTTAGCTAGCTACTGGGCTAACAAAGCGCCCGACGTCGCAGTTTCTCTATCATATCGAGTTAGCTCGTAGCTTTGATCACCAGTTGCTAATTAGCGAAGTTAGCAATTGGTTATGTTGACATGTAGCTTGTGTTTGTTAATGTTTTTGTGTTGAGKAGCAGATCGCTGCTCGTTTACGATCCGATGGCAAATAGACTGCATTTTGTCACAATAAAACACTCATCTTCACCCAGGTCTTTAAACCTTTTTGTTCTTACAYCATTTAAAAAGTTAATGATGGTTTCACATTTTGTTTCGTTATTGCAAGTTCTCAGATTGTTATTATTGTTCAAAAAGTATTTTGTATTTGAACATACGTTATGAATAAACCAAATTTGTCTTGAATTGTAGCACATTCTGCAGAAAACAACAGTATTGATTAGTCATATTTGTTTTTGTCTGACTGAGCTGAGCTGATGCATCCTAAAAAACAAATTAAAAGTAAAACTACGCTTTAAGGATTATTTTTTTGTAATATGTGGAATAACCTTTGCAGTTTGCATAAAATCTGCTAAATTGTGTTTATATTTTGGAGTAGCCCTGGATCTTGAAMTTTSTTTATCCAGAYTCAAGACCCTGACTAAATTAATCCYATGTGTGGACATTTTGTTTGTTGTAGACTCTTATGACTTAATTATTAATTTACTGCTTTTTATTAGAAGCAGTGGGGATCACATATGAGGAATTGCCATGTATTAAAGTTAGCATTTTTATAGTTATGTTTTAGCTTATTTATTGTGTTTGTTTGTTTAATAGAAGTTTTGAATTATTAAATGTCTATTGATTATTTTACATTTTTTCCCTATTTTTTCTACTTTTAGATTGTGTATGATGTATGTGTTTTTACTTTGCCCTTTTTGTATGGTAAGTTAAAATATTCTGCTGTGGCAAAACAAGTCCTAATAAAGCATTTATGTCCATATTTTATGTTGTAAACCTCTCAGATGAGAACCATCAGAAGTCGACCAACAGGCTAAACCTGGCATCGTTTTTTACTCCGACAAAACCGAAAGACTTTAGAGAAGATTAAAAAGTCTTGGGTCAAATACTTTAGGCCTTATAGGGAAAATAATTGGCTTTAATAATAAAACAGTTTAAAAGTACTTAGACTTTGGTTAGTTAGTTTCCTGTTTAGATGGGGTTTAGACCTCCTCTTCCTCCGCTCTCTAATGCCAACAACAACAGCCGTCGAGGCGACAGGAGAGTGCACTCGTAAGTGCACAGATTCTCAACATTAACTCCCCTCACCGTGAGAAACGCGCACTTCTTTCTCCCAACATYAGTCCATCCTTAAAAACAGGCTTTAGGCTGCAGCTCAAAACCGGGAATCTGCCCAAACAAATTGCCAGTCGTCTCAAAACGTGCACAAGCTAACAACTAGCGAGCTAAAGACGGAGCTGCTGAGCTGAACCTGACGCTGTTAGCCGCGACGCTAGCCAGCTGCAGTCAACAAAAGATTGTTCATTTTCTTTCAACACGTTTAGTGAAAGCTGGTGCTGTGTTGTGCAAAATGTGCTGCCTGTAACTATATCGTCCCGCTCGGGAAGAATTATTACGGGTTTTGTGGCGTTCGGATAAAGTTGGAGTGTGTTTTTGTGAGCTGTAGCAGAAGTTGGACGATGCCTCTCCTCCGGACGTGCTCGGTACCCTGAAAGTAGGCCTTGTTTGTGCACACTTAGCYGAGGAAAAGTTGTGAGCATCAACTGATTCTTTAATGTGCTTTTATATTTACACAGCGTGYTCACATTCAAAGACAAGTCGAGTTGAAATGCGCGTAATTATCCACGTTTACCATCAGTTTTTCTAGTTGTAATGAAGGRAAAGTGGAGCTAACGTTGGAGATGGAGTTAGCTTTCTATAGTGTGCTCTTAGCCACCATCTGAAATGGGCCTTACTTCAGAAATAACTCCAAAACACAATCAAATAAACCTGTTTATTTAGTATTTATGGGGAAATAATTTTATTGTATGAACCACAAAGCTTCCAAGTCATTGCTCATAGTTTTGCATTTTTTTTTTATTTTGCAGGGCTGTGAATATTGAAAGGCWGAAGAAAATCTCTTTAACCTGAACCAAACGCCTTCAGGTCCTTTGGGATCATGGCTAAAGATGTAAGTAACCAAACACATGGAAGGTATTTTGTCATTTGCCACTTTTTTGATGAAGTACCTTTAAATTTCTACCCATCATACCATGTGCCTTTTGAAAAAAAGGTTTTAATTTTTTTGTTATTGCACTTTATGCATTCTATTTAGAATAATAAAGTCCAAATGTTGCTATGTTGTTGTGTTTATGTGATTTCACAAACATTTATGCTTGAAGCAATATATGGACCATGAGAAAAGGTAATCAAATGTTAAATGGCTCGGTAGTTCAGTACAGGCTAAAGCTGCAACTAATGACTATTTTGATAGTTGACTAATCTGCTTTTATTTTTCAATTAGTCAACAATTACTTTTGTTATGTCTTATCTATGCTTCCTGTGGGCRCACCTCCTGTGCCAGCTCCAGGGCACATTTCACCTACTCATCATRCCTGTAAATATCACTGTTATCCAGCGTCTGTATCTTTTTTAATATAACAAGTTTCCATAGCAAATTAAAATTATGACCCMTTTGAACCTCAAACTTAATAGCTTACTCAGATGCRTTTTAACATKAATACATGCAAACATAATAAAAATGAAATTACATAATACATGTTAAACTGCAATTAATCTTTTAAACAAACAGTTAGTGTACAGATAACTCAAAATARCAGCCTSTTCAACRTGAGGGGCTGTTAACCTGCCCTCCTGTGTGCAGACGTAACTTTCCAAGTCCAAAATTGGTTTAAAGTGACATTCAGGTGCATAAAAGTAAGAAGATAATCCATCCTGTCATAAAATCGTGCTGGATCTGGCAGTCCAAAAGTTCAAATAAGGCTTCAATGTCATAAAACAAGAGAGAAGACGAAACCAGATGGATTCGTACTATAATTCAGTGATTTAATATGATGGCACTTAACGTTAGCTTAAGCTTTAACATAACTCAGTGTTTTTCAACCCTGGTCCTCAAGGCACACTGCCCTGCATGTTTTAGAGGTTTCCCTGCTTTAACGCACCTGATTCAGGTGATTGCAGTTCACCAAAAAGCCTGCTAATTAGTAGTGGTGCACCAAAAAAAAGTTTTACATCAGAATAGTGATTCACATTTACTAAGATTCAGAATCTATTTAAAATGTCCCAAAATCGATTTTTATAAATAAAAAAAATAAAGCAACTCTAAAGGCAGTCAGCCTCCATTTTGTAACTAAATGGGATGTGCTGACGTCATCATGCAGCTGCTTCTGGAACATATGAATGTGCAGAAAGCACCAAAACAAAGAAGAAACTACAAAACTGGAGGAAAGCGAGATTCAACTGGCCCTGTCTTCATTAAATGTTAAGATTTGGGCTCAGTTTTGTTTTTGTACTGAATGAGTCTGARTTTGACATGAGTGAGGTGTGCAAGGTTTGCAAAATGAAGATGAAGCACTTTGGGAACACGGCAAATGGGCTCACATTATCAGTTTTGAACGAAAAATCGTTTTTGAATCGAATCGTGGCCCCAAAAATCAGAATTGAATCGTGAGATAGTAAAAGATTCCCACCCCTACTAATTAGTGACCAACTGAAATCAGCTGTGTTGRAGCAGGGSAACATCTAAAACATGCAGGGCAGTGTGCCTTGAGGACCAGGGTTGAAAAACACTGACATAACTAACAGCTCCGCTTCCAACAAACCCTGATTTCTGATGATAAACTAACAAAACATATAGACAGATGGCTACAGCGCGACATGATCAGTCACTCAAAATAGGATTTATAAAGCATCAACCTGTCGAACAAGCTAACTTTCTGAAATTTACCCACCTGCAGAGGGTAATCATGGTTGCAGCGTATTAGCATCTAATGTTGTGTTGTGATCATGTTTTTACTGCTGCTGTGCTGCCATGGAATGAAGGCACTCTTCAGTGGTAAACAATGCAACCGCAGACRATAGAAGTGATTCTGCTCCCAGTAGTTCAAGTATTGCATTGCAGTTACAAATGAACATTAMTGTGGGTAAATAATACAATGCATCAACATCAAACTGCCACGTTGACTCATGTTATTATCCACATTGTCAGTTATGTTGACTGATAGTTGCAGGCTAAATGCTTGCACACTGAAATCTATTATTGTCTCCAAAATTTATGTACCTTTCCATATTATTAGGCCATTACAGCAACCAAAAATATTATAGCAGTACCTTTGGTAACACCGTTTAAAGCATCAGGCTGATTGGATAAACCTTATGTAAATGGGATTCACTGTAGTTGGTATCAATATATTGTGTTTTATGTTGCTTTAATTTGTTTAAGGCCTCTGTTTCACTTTTTCTTCTGTTGAGAATTTGCTTGAGTAAATTTAAAAACTCATTGATATTTTAATTTCAATAATGTGATTTTGATTACAGGCTGGTCTGATTGAAACAAATGGAGAGCTGAAGGTTTTTATTGATCAGAATCAGAGCCCCAGCAAAGGTATACTTTACCATTATTCATCTTGCCAGTCATTATACGCTTAAAGCTCAGTCTATTCCTAAGTTATAACCTCTACTTGAACTGATTGGCAATCCCACAAATAAAATTTATCTTCAGGGTAAGTCCTTTGTGTTTGAACGACAGGGGGCAATGTTTCAGTCCTCGTTACTGATCTCCTGTCTTCTGTTAGGTATCCTGTCCTTGGTTACTGTCCAGCCTACAGCTGCCCCTGTGGCCAAACAGCTACTACCCAAAACCCTCGGGCCGTCCAACGTGAATATTACTACACACATGCAACATGTGCCACACATGGTGAGTGCGTGGTATTATGAAGGCAGTGTTGCCACCTTTTGATGTGGGAGTTTTAAAACATCTCTAGAGTTTCTTATGTTTGTGACTTTTATTTATGTTTTACGTGATGTTTTTGTTGGCACTTCTTTTGCTGTTGTGTAAGCCCCTCMATTATCATTGTGAGGTGACCGGGCAGTGGGTAGGTGGAGGCAGTTGATCCTAAGCTTATCAACTCTCCAGTCAGCAGGATTACACCCATCATCTCATTATGTACAAGCAATGTATACCCAACGGAAATCAGCTTACATATCACCTTAGTGAAGGAATAGATCACYTATCTTTTGAATGCCTCAATTTTTTATTAGGAACTTTATATTTAGGCAAGTCCTTTCTTTGTTCGGGTCTTATTTGTACCTAGGAAATCTAAAAAAAGTATAAAAATTCTGAAGTCAAAAAGAGACTGCAGTTTATCCAGTTTTCCTGCCTTGGTTTTAGTTTGTCAGTATTCAACAGATATTCAAATAAATACAGCACATGAACTAAAATGTGTATAATACATCTAAAACGAATACAATATTAAGCTGATTTTACTAGGGCTTCAATGATTAATTGATTATTAAAATAATCGTTAGTTGCAGCCCTAGATTTTACAGTCAGTTTTACAGATAATGAGGTAACAGTTGGTGTTTGGGAAAATAACGTGCCAATAAGTTYAGCATCCACTAACATAAGCTTGACTGTGGGCTCTCCGTTGATTTGACAAACATTAAATGTGGCTCTCTRGAGCGACACGAGCTCAGAAGTTGTATTTAGGACTGTGTTGTCTCATTTTTAGTCTCCATTCAATGTTTTCTAAAAGTCGAATTAAATTTATCTGGAAAGGATTTAATTTTTGCGATTATATCATACTTACTGTTGATTCTGAATATCTGTATTTTCAGTTTTATGCTGTTTTTTTTTTAATAGGTAATTGGAACACCCCAGAGGCCAACAGTATCAAATACAATATTATTAAACAGTCCACACACACCGAGCTCTCAGTTCCTCACACAGAGCCAGCCAGCTGATTCCTCTCCTTGGTCGTCAGGGTAAGTCCTCAAAATGTTCACATGAAATAAATTGTTCAGGATGGTGTCGAGTCTGTAATGTAAGAGTTGTTTTACATGAAGTAAACAATTTAGTCCCCAATTTCTGTCAACAGAAAGCGGGGTAAAAAAGGGGAAAAGAATGGAAAAGGTTTGAGGCATTTCTCCATGAAAGTGTGCGAGAAGGTGCAGAAGAAAGGAGTGACGACCTACAATGAAGTTGCAGATGAGCTGGTTGCAGAGTTCAGCTCTTCAGACAACCACATGTCCCCTAATGACTCAGTGAGTGCTGCAGCTGGGACTTAGTGGAGCTAACCTTTAACACAGACAAACGTGCTTCTAGATTCTGCAGATATTTGCCCAGTTAGGGTGTTTTTTGTTTTAATGTTTTGACCCATGTGTTTCTCTCATAGCATGTGTACGACCAGAAGAACATTCGGCGGCGTGTTTATGATGCTTTGAATGTGCTCATGGCCATGAACATCATCTCTAAAGAGAAGAAGGAAATCAAGTGGATTGGCTTGCCCACAAACTCTGCTCAGGAGTGCCAAAATTTAGAGGTAGAGACACTGAACAACATTTTCACAGTAATTTGTCATAAAACTTTTTTTTATCTATGCTCTATCCACCAACCCACGCTATTTTTTTGTCTCTAATTTTTATATTTCTTCTACAGGTGGAAAGACAAAGGCGGCTGGAGAGGATCAAGCAGAAACAATCGCAGCTTCAGGAGCTCATACTGCAGGTGGGACTGAATGTTGGGTTTGTACTTTTCCCCCTCTGATATCTGCTACAACTGGAAGGAGTCAGTTATCTGTGTAGTTGTTGAACAGTTTTATTTCTGTAATTTCCYACAGCAAATAGCCTTTAAGAACCTTGTTCAGAGGAACAGACAGACGGAGCAGCAAGCAAACAGGCCACCACCTCCCAACTCCATCATCCACCTTCCCTTCATAATCGTCAACACCAGCAAGAAAACTGTGATCGACTGCAGCATCTCCAATGACAAGTTTGTGATCATTCACTTTGTTTTGTTAGCATCCAGTAACAGGGAAAGTGTTGGAATTAATTCACAGTAATAAAAATTGCACACGTTCATCGTGTTTTTTGTGGAAGATTTGATAGAGTAAAATGCAAAAGCCAGAGTAATTTCAGAATGTAAGTTCTGTTTTTTTTTAAACGGAGAAGAATGATGATGCTAGATGTGCATCAAACTAAGCGATATCCACACATATGACAGACATGCTATCGTGTGGTTGCTTCTGTTATCAGGTTCTGTGTCAGGATGAGTATGACAAAAATAAGTGTCTGAGAAAAATTTTCTTGTTTTCAGACATTTTCTTTGAAGAAATGTTGTAAACTTAATTTATAARTGTTCTTTAACATCACCCTGATTAACATAAAATTAAATTAAAGCTTAMAAACTGATGGAAAGGGAAATTTTCTAAGCTCTTGTTAACATTAATAATTTTTTATACATTTTTACATTTTACATGTATGCTTTTGTTAAAAGTAGTTAAGAGTAAAGAAGACATGCTGATTAGATTATCTTAAAAACTAGAGCAAATTCATGTTTTTCCATGTCTCCTGTTCTCTTTGTGTGCAGGTTCGAGTATTTGTTCAATTTTGACAGCATGTTTGAGATTCACGATGACATTGAGGTGCTGAAGCGAATGGGCATGGCCTGTGGTTTGGAGGTGGGAAAATGTTCTGCAGAGGATCTGAAAGTTGCACGCAGTCTGGTGCCCAAAGCTTTGGAGCCTTATGTTATAGGTAGGTATCCCCATGTTCTTTCATGCTTTCTGCTTGTTGAAGTGTCAGTCATAACCAGAGTTTATTTTGGTTTTGTAATTCAACCTATCTATATTCACAGAAAATATTTATTAGATTGATTGAAGAGGTTTTATCAAATTTGCACCTAATGTTTATTTGAAATCTAGCCTCAGCAGGCTTTTAGGTAGGATTTTTCAAGAGGGTGTCTTGTACAGTCTCAGTTCACTGCTTTTTTTTTAATTTAATTTTTTAACAATGATTGCCTGTACCTACTAATAAAGCTACAGTCTGACTTTACATTCTTGCTAACATGTTTAAAATTACAGCTGTAAGTCGAGGTGGCTTACCTGAGCTGTGGCCGTAAGTTATGGCCCGTAACGTTGTAGGTACCTGTCGTGGCGGCAACCCTCGAACATCAGTAGTGAGGGATGCTGTCAGGCTGAAGGAGGAGTCCTATCGGGTTTTCTTTTGGCCTGTGGGACTCTGGAAGCAGCCACCAACACTATTTGTAGTGGGAATAGTGCGCTGCTGACCTCAACTGAGGACGTTGTGGGTTGGTTGGCAGAATAATTCGAAGACCTTCTCAATCCTAACGACACGTCTTCCCATGAGGAAGCAGAGCCTGATGACCCTGGGTTGGACTTTCCARYCTYTGGTGCCGAGGTCACTGAGGTGGTTAAAAAGMTCCTCGGTGGCAGGGCGCCGGGGGTGGATGAGATCCGCCAGSAGATCCTTAAGGCTCTGGATGTTGTGGGGTTGTGTTGGTTGACGCGRCTCTACAACATCGCATGGACATCGGGRGCAGTTCCTCTGGATTGGCATTCCGGAGTGGTGGTCCCCCTRTTTAAAAAGGGGGACCACAGAGTGTGTTCCAACTAWAGGGGGATCACACTTCTGAGCCTCCCTGGCAAGGTCTATTCAGGGGTCCTGGAGAGGAGGGTCCGTTGGATAGTCGAATCTCGGATTCAGGAAGAGCAGTGTGGTTTTCGTCCTGGTCGTTGAACAGCGGACTAGCTCTACACCCTCAGCAGGGTCCTGGAGGGTGCATGGGAGTTCGCTCAACCTGTTTACATGTGTTTTGTGGATTTGGAGAAGGCATTTGACTGTGTCCCTCGGGGACTCCTGTGGGGGGGTATTTTGGGAGTATGGGGTACCAGGCCTGTTGATACGGGCTGTTAGATCCCTGTACGACCGGTGCCAGAGCKTAGTCCACATTTGCCGGTAGTAAGATGGACTCATTTCCGGTGAGAGTTGGACTCCGTCATGGTTGCCCTTYGTCACCGATTCTGTTCATAATTTTTATGGACAGAATTTCGCAGCCAAGGTGTTTTGGAGATCCTTTTTGGTCTGTTTGATCTCTGCTTTTTGCGGATGATGTCGTCCTATTGGCTTCATCAAATCGTGATCTCCAGCTCTCACTGGAGTGGTTCACAGCAGAGTGTGAAGCGGCCGGGATGAGGGTCAGTGCCTCCAAATCCGAGACCATGGTCTTGAGCCGGAAACCGGTAGGGTGTCTTCTCCGGGTCAGGGAGGAGGACCTGCCCCAAGTGGAGGAGTTTAAGTATCTTGGGGTCTTGTTCACGAATGAGGGAAGAATGGAGAGGGAGATTGACAGGCGGATTGGTGCTGCGTCTGCAGTGATGTGGGCGCTGTACCGGTCTGTCGCGGTGAAGCCGGAGCTGAGCCCGAAAGCGAAGCTCTCGATTTGCCAGTCGGTCTACGTTCCTACCCTCATCTATGGTCACGAACTTTGGGTAGTGACCGAAAGAACAAGATCGCGGATACAAGCGGCCAAAATGAGTTTCCTCCACAGAGTGTCTGGGCTCTCCTTTAGAGATGGGGTGAGAAGCTTGGTCATCCAGGAGGGACTCAGAGTACAGCTGCTACTCCTCCACATCGAGAGGAGCCAGTTGAGGTGGCTCGGGCATCTGGTTAGGATGCCTCCTGGACGCCTCCCTGGTGAGGTGTTCGGGCACGTCCCACTGGGAGGAGGCCCAGCTGAAGACCCAGGACACGCTGGAGGGACTATGTCTCTTGACTGGTCTGGGAACGCCTTGGGATTCCCCTGGACGAGCTGGTCCAAGTGGCTTGGGAGAGGGAGGTCTGGATCTCTCTGCTTAGGCTGCTGACCCCGCAACCCGCTCCCGGATAAGCGGAAGAAAACGGACGGACGGATTACCCTACCTTCGCTTTAGAGAAAAAGCGAGAAATGTCATCCTGTGCATGTCCCCTTGTCCTCTTTATGTTGACRTTGATGAAAACTGATTTCCTTGGATTTCTAGGGCTTTTTAAAATTATATTTCTGATAAAATCAGTTTTCCTCCTGCTTCATTTGTGTGCTGCATTTTCTACCCCGAATTTACATATGCGGCGCCGGTTYGGCCAAGTGCAAGGAGCTCGCAAGAAGCATGTGCAGGAAATGCRAGATCGGGAAGCGGCTTGACCAAAAGGATAAAAATAAACACTCATTGCYGCGCTGGCAAACATGTACATATTATCGATTTCTGTTATGATATCGGACCGATAAGTATGACATCATAATTCCTTGATATCGGGCCGATAACTATCGTGCACCCCTAAAAATAAGTATTTGGTCACTAACAAAAGTTAATCTCAATACTTTATTATATATCCTTTGTTGACAATGACAGAGGTCAAAGGTTTTCTGTAAGTCTTCACCAGGTTGGCGCACACTGTTGCTGGTATGTTGGCCCATTCCTCCATGCAGATCTCCTAGAGCAGTGATGTTTTGGGGCTGTCGCTGAGCGACACGAACTTTCACCGCCCTCCAAAGGTTTTCTATAGGGATGAAATCTGAAGACTGGCTAGGCTGCTCCAGGACCTTGAAATGTTTCTTACGAAGCCACTCCTTTGTTGCCCTGGCAGTGTGCTTGGGATCGTTGTCATGCTGAAAGACCCAGCCAAGTTTCATCTTCATTGCCCTTGCTGATGGAAGGAGGTTTGCACACAAAATCTCATAATACATGGCCCCATTCATTCTTTCATGTACACGGATCAGTTGTCCTGGTTCCTTTACAGAAAAACAGCCCCAGAGCATGATGTTGCCACCTCCATGCTTCACAGTTGGTATGGTGTTCTTTTGATGCAACTCAGGATTCACTCTCCTCCAAACACGACGAGTTGTTTCTACCAAATAGTTCTACTTTGGTTTCATCTGACCATATGACATTCTGCCAATACTCTTCTGGAACATCCAAATGCTCTCTAGCAAACTTCAGACGTGCCTGGATATGTACTGGCTTAAGCAGGAGGACACGTCTGGCCCTGCAGGATCTGAGTCCCTGGTGGTGTAGTGTGCTACTGACAGTAGCCTTTGTTACGTTAGTCCAAGCCTCCTGCAGGTCATTCACCAGGTCTCCCCTGAGTTGTTCTGGGACTTTTCCCCACCGTTCTTGTGATCATTTTGACCCCACGGGGTGAGATCTTGCGTGGAGTCCCTGATAGAGGCAGATTATCAGTGGTCTTGAAGGTCTTACATTTTCTATTTATCACTCCCACAGTAGATTTCTTCACACCAAACCACTTTGCCTACTGCAGATTCAGTCTTCCCAGCCTGGTGCAGTTCTACAATTTTGTTTCTGGTGTCCTTACACTGCTCTGTGGTCTTCACCATAGTGGAGTTTGGAGTTCTAACAGGTGCCGTTACTACAGGTAATGAGTGGAGGACAGAGGAGCCTCTTAAAGAAGAACTTTCAGATCTGCAAGAGCCAGAAATCATGCTTGTTATTGACAAAATACTTATGTTCCACCATAATTTGCAAGTGAATTCTTAAAAAAGTCAGTGTAATTTTCTAGATATTTTCTCTCATTTTGGTCTCTTAGTTGAGGTCTAAAGCCTACTTCACACTCCCTCCGAACTGCCGAAATTGTCACKGATTGTCGCAATTTCATGACGAAAATTACATCACGGGTGTTCTCAGCATTGCATGTTTTCATCAGCTTCCCGAACAGGGTGATCAATTTTGACAGCATTTATGTATAAATATGTGCTTTTTGGTGAATTATTTTAAAAATATGGATGTTGTGCTCTTTGCTTTTCCTATTAGTRCAGTGTGATCTTTTTCTAGATTGGCTCTGGAGCAGCTTCAGTGTCTGGCAAAAATGGRATTGAATCRATGGRCGTSCRCAGCCTCACATATTATAGGCGCATCAATGTCGTAAAGCGGACCAGGGTGTAGTAAAGCAGACCCAGGGCGTTGTAAATCAGACCAGGGTGTAGAACAGACAACTTGACACCCCCCTAGCTAAATGCCTAGACCTCAGGCAACTTAAAAATAAATCCTCGTCTCAAACTAGATAATTATATCCTAAAAGCTTGCACAAAGCTTAAAATGCAATGTTATCAATTTAAGTTTCATCTGCATCAAGTTTTGTTAAAAATTGTTTGATTATTTATTGTAGTGAAATTAGAWATGACCTGTCACCTTTTTCTAAAGTTATTAACTGTTAAAATAAAAGTTCAGCTTTTGTAAGACTTGTACAGTGATGCTGTCATGAGTCAAAGTATTTACCATATTTTGATCACAGCAGTTTTTTCCATTGATCAAGAACCCATGAAGGACTGTGGTCTAGTGCCCCATTTTCCAGTAGCGCCTCTACAGCACAGTTCAWCTTGGCTCTCCATTTTTGATTGAAACTGCTTTTTTGTTTGATTGAATAATAAAAACACAAAATTAACGCCATACAGACATAGGTTTATATACTGAACAAAAATATAAACACAATACTTGAGTTTTTGCTCCCATTTTTTTATRAACTGATCTCAAAGATCTACAACCATTCACAATAGACCCTCTTCCTTCAAATATTGTTCAGAAATTTGTGTAAATCTGTGTTAAGTGGCACTTCTTTGCAGAGATAACCAATCCCACCTCGAACATGTGGCATATCAAGATGCTGATTAGACAGCRGGATAAGCATTATGGGGACCACTTGTACAAGTAATAAATACATTCCGTCCCAACACCTGTTTTTAATGTGGCGCATTCGCACGGGATTACCAAAGCCTGAAATTTTGCTTAAATTTACAGACATCTCCCAGATATGAAATTGAAGCCTGGTTTATAGTTGACGCGGTGAACACRGCAAGGGTGCGCATGCCAAAAGTGCTCCGCAAAGTCGGCGCATGCCGTGCACCATTCTGTTTGTTCATCAAACGTTTGCTCTTCTATTTACAACATTTCATAAGTTCTTCATAAGTGTTCTGCCACATGTAATTTTGGAGAATACTACAATGTAAGCACCAAGTATAAATGCCTACACTGCTGGCGAGGGTGCATGATGTGAGCCACCATTTGGATCTGATTTTGCTCCTTCTCTTCAGCCTTTTTTATTTTTTGTCAGTTTTGCTGCCCTGGGACCCAAAAGGTTTTCAATGCACTCCAATCCAGCCTCCATTCTTCACCAAAAGCAAATAAAAAATGCGCCCAGGAAACAAAAAACACTTAATTACATATGAGATTCAGCCCATTCCTGACCAAATCACATAGATGCCTTTTCACATTGGATTAGTGTTTTCAGAGGACCTCAGAGTTCAGCAGATTTGAGGGGGAATTTTTACTTTACAAATTACTGACATGGCCAATTTGCATGAGATTAACAACACAATCTCCACGATTATTACAATTAGCATGTGGTCCCTGGGTAAAACTAGTCCTGTCAGAATAGGGCTTTAGGCTGGCCACAATAAAAGGACACTCTTAAATGTGCTGTTTTGCTTTATTGGGGGTCAGTATCTGGTGTGACCACCATTTGCACATTTGTAATTCCTTGTAAAGGTTCTTGGTGGAAAAAAACAGGTCATATTTGTTCAAACTCCTTCAGTCTTCTGACGTCATCTGGGATAGAGTAGATCCTTGAGAGATTTCTCTCTTGCCTCCACATGAAGTTTGTTGCTATCATGCAAAAAAAAAAAAAAAAAAAAAATTAAACACACCTAATTACCTGTTGATGCCACGCAAGTTTTGACATGTGATGTTATTAATTTGCTTCCAGTAGATACTGCCAAGGAATGAGTTTGAGTTATGCGTTAATATTAAACATGTTCCTCCCACTTTTTTCCCCAAGAGATGGCAAAAGGTCCGATCAGTAATGTGTACATCACAGGAGGCTCCTCAGCCAATGGAGCTCGTTATACTGCTAGCAGGTGAGACATGTTAACTGTTGTCTAAATAAGAAAGCAGGTCTTTTTATTCATATGTGTTCTTGTTTTTAAATGAATTTATAACTGATTCCCTCTTGTGTTGCAGTGATGGGTGCACTGATGGCACCATGGCGTCAAGTTCAAACGACTCTCACTACAGCGGGTCTCGCGTGGAGACTCCAGTGTCTTACATGGGGGATGACGACGACGATGAGTATGAGGAGAACGATGATGAAGACTAACCCTGCTCCACCTTCACCACTCCAACAAGCACAGTCCTTCAAACAACAGTCACAGTGGGAATTTAGTCCCCTTTTTGTGTGTGCTTCTCGAGCCTTTTCCCTGGTTTCCTCATGCCTGGATCTCTGTCTGGCTTTCTCAGGGGTGTAGATGAATATTGAAAGAACACAGGTGTTTTTTTTTTTTTTTGTTTTTTTTCTTTATACCCATCTTTGTTCTGCTCCTGAAACATGCTCACCTGCACCACAACTCTGGGGGACAGTTGATCCAAGGGAACTGTAGATTGTGGCTCTGCCACCTGAAATCTTTGTACGTCTAATCCTCTTATCAATAAGCCATCTTCCTCTTTATCACATGGGTAAACATATTTTTGTTGGAGAATGTAAAATGTGTTTGAGTAGGTGTTATTTTATAGTTACTTTTGGACAGACAAGACATTATGATCAAAATGTTCCAAAAATGTTTGCGTTAACGTTGTGTTTAGCACARCTCCGTTGATTCTGAATGGCTGAATACAGTTTTTCATGGTGTCCCTGGTCGGGACTCCATCAAACTTGTCAGTACATTGTTTTGTGTTCTGGGTAATTATTTGAAATAGTTTTATTCCCATTGTGTTGGGTTGGCTTCCTTATGTTTTGTAGGCAGCTGCTTTCTGATCTTGTTTGTTAGTTGATTTTTTTTTTTTTTTTTTTTTTTTTTTTTTTTTTTTTTTTTTTTGTATTCTGGAGTTGAACTGTCAATCACCGCCCTGTTGATGCCGTGTTGGTGTTTACAAAACAATGGCAGCAGTGAGGTAAAGACTCATAACCCAGGCTCCTTATAGGTAATTAAGCTTTGTTTGTTAATGATGTATCTAAATCCTACCACGATTGTAGCTTATAGTATCCTTTAGAGGCCAGTGGTAAAGACAGACCGTCAAAAATTATTGATGTAACAAAATGTGTGCTTGTATAGGTCTTTGTGTACTCCCTTCAAAGATCACCCTTTTGAAAACCAAGACACATGTACTGACTCTTCCAAATACCTTTTCTGTAATCTAATATAAGTTTGCAAATTAAAATATAGATTGTTTTAATAAGTTTCTATGTACTGTTTCTTCGAGTTTGTTTCTAAAAAAGCCTGGTAGTGATTTTAGAGTAAAAAAATCATACTTTTAAGAGCTACTTTAACAGAGGAAAAGTATAGAAAATCTGATTGCTATTGATTGCTCCCTCTATTTGATAGTTTTGCCATTTCACATGTCAGCAGATAATTTGAAAGTAGTCATTGATTTTTATGGGATGACATTTAGAAAACCTGTATCACAACCAGAAATGCAGTTATAGCTCTGTCATTAAGAACATAATGAAGCATAAACTGTGGAGGCTGTGTTGATATTTTATTTATTTTTCTCTGGCAACAAAACATGTACGGATTTGTCACTTTAAACATCTTAAAGACAGTCACATGTACAGTTAGAAAACCATCCTTTACTCAAGTATATTTTTAGGCATTGTGAATAATGGTGCTTTGTTTTCTGTTTATTTTTTAGGATAATTTTGGACAAAAAGAGTCCCCCCAAAACATTGTAGAGCATGGAAAAGTGAAACGAGTGTCTGTTCATTGTGTAGGTTAAGGATCAACTAGTTATAACCATCAGTTAGCTTAGTCATCCCTAACACTTTGAACTCTGAACTGATCACATAAAATCTTGTTTTGGTCAAGATGGTGACAAAGAATACAAACATTACAGGTCCTCAAAAAATTAGCACATTGTGGTGAAGTTCATTATTTTCTCTAACGTACTGATAAACATTAAACTTTCATATACAGTATTTTAGATTCATTGCACACCAACTGAAGTATAAGCCTTTTTTTGTTTTATTATTGATGATTTTGGTAAAGTAAAGAAAAACCAAAAATCCCTATCTCAAAAAATTAGCATATCATGAAAAGGTTCTCTAAACGACTTATTAACCAAATCATCTGAATCAACAA